AGGGTATCGGATTCCGGGCTTGTCAGACAGGCCACAAATCTAGTGCCCCTCTTGAATCTCACAACCCTAAACCACTCCAACCCCTGACCTCCTTAACCCCAAAGAACCTACCTTTTTAGGGTTCCTTAGTATAGTTTCTTTATATAAGTCCTTAAAAAGGTAGGTTCTTTGGGGTTAAGGTGAATCCTAAATCCTGAAACAGAGCCCCGAAAGAGCCCTTCTAGAACCCTCATAGTAACCCCTAGAGTAGCTGCCCTAAACCCTAAACCCGAAACCTTAAGCCAGAGACCTTGAGGGGTTTAGGGTTTAGGGCTAAACCCCGAAGGCCCCAAAAACCCCAAAAACACCCCAAACCCCGAAGCCCAAAAACCCCAAAAACAACCCTAAACCCAGAAGGCCCCAAAACCCCCCCAAAAAAATCCCTAAACCCTAAACCCTAAACTGGAGCCCAAAACTTGCAGGCCGAGCGTCGACACTCTCAAGAACCTCGAGGCGAAGATGACCTCAGAGTAGGTCTTGGCAAGAGGGTTTAGGGTTTAGGGGTTTCCGAAAATAAGGGGTACCTTATTTCGGGGGGTCCTTATACTAGGGATCCTACTATTTGCGGTACTATATTACTGTCCCCTATTTTCGGAAACCATTTAGGAGATGGAGGGGTTCCGAATTTAGGAGGTTTTAAGGGCTTTTTTGTGAATTTAGGATTGAAGAGTGTATCATTTTGGGAGTTTAGGGTGCGGAATTTAGGAGTTTAGGGGTTTGGGGGAGTTTAGTGGTTTTGTGAGTGTAGGGCTTTGGGAGTCTAGGGTTCAGAATTCAGGAGTTTTTAGGGCTTTTAGGCATTCAGGATTCAAGAGTGCAGGATTTTGCGTGTTCAGGGCTCAGAACTTAGGAGTTTTGGGTTGTAGGACATGAGGGTGTCAGGCTTAGCATTTACGATAGAGGGTTCCTGAATATACACTTGGCAACCCTAAAATATAACCCAAAACCCTATCCCAACGCTAACCACAAAAACCTGTATACCCGTGCCACCCCACCCCGTCCCGGAATCCCTTTCCATTTGGAGGCTGAAGCCCACTCCCAAACAACAAACCGGACGACTTCTCAGCGCATATCATGTAGACCCGTGAAAGGATTATAACTGAGATCTTTCCCGTCGGGCCACTAGGAAGTGCCCTTTACGAATCAGAAACCCTTAACCTGCCCTTTTTTTGCATCAGGACTTGTGCAATCGCCTGAATGTCCCTTAACATACCCTAAACTCTAAACCCTGAGCCCCAAAATCACCAAACCCGCTGAAGAAGGGGTCCCAGAGGGCTCACCCTACGAAACTGTTGATGTAGGGGCCTTGATAATTTCAATAGGGTTTTCGGGCCCATTATACTGCAATTACATTAAGGAACCCCCACAGTAGTATTGGTAACTATTCGGGCCCCTATATCAGGAGAGGCTCCCCTTCGGCTTTCGGAGTCAGGATTTACGGTATGAAGAAAAGCAGGACTTGGGAGGTGGGGGTTTCTGAAAACCTAGGATCTAGGAATCAGGATTTAGTAGATCCCTAGAATCTAGAAACTGCAAGCAAAAATAGGATTATGGTTTTTTTGGATTATGGGGTTTAGGGTTTAGGGTTGGGGGCTTATGGGATTTCAATGTCGGAATCCAATCCAGATGCGTCACGGAACGCCCACAGTGCAGGCTTCGAGTTTAGGGCCATGCTTGCGGTTTCGCGTTGAGCGTCTAGGAACACACCGTACCCGCATGCTTCCGGGCTGAGGTTTCCCAACCCTAAACCCCAAACCCGAAACCCTGAACCCCTAAACCCTAAACCCTAAACCCTAAACCCTAAACGCCTGAGCCATGAAACCGTGGAAACCCTGAAAATGGCAAACGAGCTTTAGGAACCTAAAAGAGGCGGCACCCTCATAAAAAGAACGGTTTAGGGTTTAGGGTTTAGGGGTTTAGGGTTGAGGGGAGAAGACCGTAATTTAGAGAACTATCCCAAAAAAATGCCACCAAACCCTGAACTTTAGAACCCTGTGTCTTCTCGCCAAGCGTCCATCAAAGCCAGGTACAGCACCAGCGGAATGATCCTTAAAACTCTACCTTAATTAAGGAATATACTTTAAACTATAGGGGCCTTAATATGAAATTACGATTTAAGGTATATTATTTCATTAAGGGGTATTGGGTTCTCTGAGTACGGGCACTGTGGGTTCGGGCGTCTGGTTTAGGGCTTTCCGGTTGAGGTTTGAGGGGGCGAAAAGGAGTACCCTAAACCCTAAACCCTAAACCCTAAACCCTAAACCCTAAACCCTAAGGACAAAGGTTTCAGGCCTCGTGTTCAGGGCCAGGGGGTCAAGGTTTATAGCCAGGGTTCAGCGTTTTAAGGCTTCAGGGCCCAGGGTTCAGGGCCTGGATTCGCATCATTAAAGTTATTCTGGTGTTAAATCGTGTTGAGGATATAGGTTTTAGGGTCTAGGATCGAAGCTGAAGGAGTAATATAAAAAAAGATATGGCTTCGCAATGTTGAGGGGTGGGTATTTTCCAGGATCAGAACAGCGAGCTCGACTAGAGACTGCTCCATCCGGAGCTGCTGAACCCCGAACCCTAAACCCTAGACCCTAAACCCGAAACCCTAAACTCCCAACCCTAACCCCTAAATCCCTAGACCCCTAAACCCCACATCCTAAACCCGAAATTCCTAAACCCTAAACCCCAAATCCTAACAGAAAGGACTGTTGCGTGGGATGGAAACTTTTGGTTTGTACCTTCCAGAAAGCTAAACTCTCAACCCCAAGCCCTGAACCCTAAACCCCAAATCCTAAACCCTAAACCCTAAACTCCTAAACCCTAAACCCTAAACTCCTCAATCCCAAACCCCAAAATCCTGAACCCTCATGCAAGCGTCATCCAAAGGAGGAGCGGCACACGAAGGAAGCCCAGAGAAGCCATGGCGTGGCGGGGCAAAACCTGCCCACATATGCTTTGGGCTTAGGGGGTCTATGGTTTAGGGTTTAGGGTTTAGGGTTGAGGGTTTAGGGTTTAGGGTTGAGGGTCTAGGGTTTGGGGTTTCGACCCTCGCTCTCGCAAAAGCAAGCAATGCTCCACACAAATCCGTCACGCTAGAGAAAAAAGTATGCTATAAAGATATCAGCAGAACCTATCTAACCCATTAAAACACCCATACTGCCCCTAGCCTATGTGTGTTTCTGGAGACATTGCTCCGCACTACCAACTCAGTCGGTCCCCACGAAGCTGATCAGCGCCGACAGTTACAAAAGTGTCCAGGTTTACGGCTTAATTCAACAATGACAAAGGTCGGCACCGAATCCGCAAGTATTCTGCGGTGACTTAGCATTATAATCAGCTATACAGTGAAGCACGTATGAAACTGACGCCATGCCCCTGTTTCAAAAGGTCAGCTGTCTATCCATTGGTCAGCACATGAATTCGAAGTTGACGCTCAGTATTCGAACAGACGTCACATGCACGCACCTCCCCATGCAAAAACCATTGACAGACCGACCATCCTCTCCCTTTGTACCAGAGCAGGTCGTCCATATTCATGTCGTAGCCGTCGTAGCTCTCCCTCAACCATGTCCTGGACGATAGCCTTGTGGCCCCGACGGCGGCGATCCGCCTGGCGAGTCTGTTCCGATAGTCCAGGTCCATGGTCATCCAAGTGGCCCTTGGTGGAGCCTCGTTTCTGGGTCATGTCATGGTCGTTGTGGTCAGGATGACTCAGGGCCTGTCCCTGCCCATGTGGACCAGATCCACCATCCCGCGCCTGCACAATGGTTGTGGTTGAGGCGCTGCCAAGTTCCGCAAACGCGGCATAAGCGCCAAACTTGTCATCGTCGACGGAACCGTCGATATGTAGATTGCCAACGGTCCCTTCGGGAGCATCGGCGAGGGCATGGGATGACGCACAGAGCGTCCATGCAATCACGTCCTGGAGCAAGTAAACGGTGCGCTCCGTCTTGGGCACACCGAGATCCCGCAGCGCCTGCGGCACCGTGGCCTCATCGACCCCTCCTATGTTCCAGGATCGAATTTCAAAGTGCCACACAATGGAGGCTCCTCAGCTGGTGAATGCTCCCCCTCGGCAGTATTCAGCGAAGCTTCCGAAACTTTCCGAACTGGGTCAGCGTCTGCTTTCCTCAAGCAGTCGATTGATCTCACCCTCGGTGGTTCGCGTCTCCTTGAGCAAGGCCCCCACATTCACCCACGTTTTGTGCCCCTCAACTTCTTCCCTCAGCAGATCACTCCGGTGTTCCCGGTTTGACCGGCCGAGTAGCCGATCCCACGAACGAGGAGCCGAGCCAGCACGTGCCTGAGGGCCGAGGCTGCTTACCCAAGGTCCTTTTGATACACCCTGCATGTCCGGCAACGGCCCGTTCCGACTTTGTCTTGGGGTATGTCGCAAACATCCTTCGGCCTGTTGGAGGCACCGGGACTTGGTTAGTGGCCAGCCCCATTATGATGTTGTGCATCCGGCGTCTGACCTAGTCCGTCTCCGAGGTTCTGCGATGAAAGTTAGCAAGTGCAGTGCTCCTGCGGGGGCCGGTGCAAAATGCTTCCCCATCCATGGGCTTTCGTGGGTCCAGTTGGTCCAACGCTTCATAAAGCTCTTGCAGTATCACCTGCTTGCGCATATCCCTGCCCCAGCCACCGAACACAAGCGTGAAACGTCTGACCTGCTCCGCCCTGGCAGCCTTCTGCTCCACCTGGTCCAGGCGCTCTTTCGTCTTGTGCTCGAAGAGGGCCATCATCCCATCCAGGTTGTCCCGCTGAGCCTTCATAACCTTGGCCGAGTGCCTCGAGCAATCGTTCCATCTGGTCTAGGTCCAAGACACAGTTTGTTTGTTCGACATGACCTCTCCCCACGGAACTGGTGCTCCTCGCAACTAGACGACCGCCGGAATTGCCTTGTGGTCAAAGTCCCGAAACGCACCGAAGCGGTCCCCCTGGGATTCGTGCTCCCGCCGAGCTGCTTCAAAATGTACGTGATCAGGTTCGCTACGGTCAGCTCCACCTTGTCCCTCTGCTGCGCCGAGCGCACACCCAACCCTGAAGGGAGAACAACAGACACGCACCACGGGGCCTTGAGCCAAAATGGCTTTGGGGTTTAGGGTTTAGACTCGAATACCCCCTTGTTCACAGACCCGTATTAAATTAACAAGATGCGCTCAGGGGAAGTAGGCCAACAACAACTCTGTGACGTACTACAAGCTGCGTGGGAATGCCTCGCAAGCTAGACACCATGGGTGCTTCGATAGCTGTGAACCTTTCGCCCTAAACCGTAAACCGTGAGAACGTCCTCCCGGCCTGGAAGTAGCCAATGGAGGCATCCTTGGCATCAGCGATTGGCTCCCCGTCCTTTGTCACAAGCTGCGAGGTCGATAGGCACAGCGGCACAGGATCAGCACTTGGGATGGGATAAATTCTACTGCTTGACTTGAAGGTAGGCTTTAGGGTGCCGACATCCTCGACCCAAAGCCCTTAGAAGTGTGAGCAATGTCCTCGACCAGCAACGCATGGACAAGCCTCAAAAGCCTTGCACTGAGGATTGCTGTTGAAGCTACTGAAACCATCAGAAGCCCCAAACCTTAAACCCAAACCGCTCACCCGAAGCAAGTTGCGTGCCGAGGCACCGCAGTACAAAGGCTCAGCTCCATGGCACTGACATGACGGACCTTCAGGGCTTTGGGTTTTAGGGTTTAAGGTTTCTTCAGGGTTTTGGGTTTAGGGTTTAGGGTTTAGGGTTCAGGGTTTAAGGTTTCTTTAGGGCTTGGGGCTCAGGGGCTTTTAGGGTGTAGTCTGTAGGGAACGTTTTGTTGCATCGAAGGGTACAGGACTCGGGGTTTGAAAGCGTAGGCTTTAAAGTCCAAGACCTAGGATTTGAGCGTGTGGGGATTGCGACCGCGATGGAAGCATGTCGGGTACGTGTCGGGTTGAACATGGGACCAAGGTGCGACACCATTGCTTGCGCAAAGCCGTTAGACCCATCCCTTTGTTGAGCTAAAAGGAGATCACAAACCCTGAACCCAAACCCACCCTAAACCTGGGTATCCAGAATGCTTCAAGCACCTTGTAGGCTCTTGTCCAGGACATTGATTCAAGTTACCCTACTCAGGAAGAAATTTTCCTTCCCATACATATCCCCACTATTGTAACTGAAACCCCGAGTGAAAACCTATGAACCTTTCAAAGCCCAACCGACAAGCCCTCATAAATGGAACCGATTCGAAGCAGAGCTTAGGGTTTTTAAGGTTCAGGTTACGGCTTAGGGTTTAGGGTTTAGGGTTTAGGGTTTAGGGTTTAGGGTTTAGGGTTTAGGGTTTAGGGTTTAGGGTTTAGGGTTTAGGGTAGGGTTTACATGGGATCCAGGGCCCACTGTCCTCCCAAATGAAACTCTAGAGAACCCAACACAAAATCCATAGACAGCCACTCAAGAGCCTTGTAGGGGAAGTGCTGGACTATCTTTTTCCGGCGGCAGCAGGAGTTGAGCCACTGCCGAGGACCTGGCATCTTGGCCAAAAACGAAACCCTAAACCCTAACCATAAGCCCTAAGCCCTAAACCCTAAGTCCTAACCAAAAACAACCCTAAACCCTGAACTCTGAGCCCTCGGCATCTTCGGTTCCGAGGTGTATGAGGCTTGGGCGTTCGAGTTTGAGGGGTGCAGGGTTTAGGGCTTACCGGTAAGTGAAAGAGCCTACCTTTTGAAGGGACTATGTATAGAAACCATAAAAAGTAAGCCCTAAAAAGGTAGGTCTTTCCGGCACCGGTAGGGTTTAGGAGTTCACAACTTGAAAAACTTAGGGGTAATGTAGGAACCTGATTAAGACACCCTGGCCCTATAACCCCAGTATATTAGGGTTCATAAGAACCCTAATATTAGGGTTCAGATTAAGAACTCCAATAAAGAGCCATGGTTTCTTGATCAGGTTCCTACATTATCGGGTTTTGGGGATCAGTTGTTCAGCCCGAGGGTCGAGGGCATGCAGGGGATTTGGAGCTCCTAGCTTCAAGGGGTTCGGGTTTAGGGTTTAGGGTTTAGGGTTTAGGGTTTAGGGTTAAGGATGAAGTGAAGTGAAGTTTAGGGTTTAGGGTTTGGGAGTCAAGGGATTGAGCTTTCAGGTCGTTTTGGTTCAGGGTGTTAAGGTTCAGGGCTCTCTGCCTACCCTAAACCCTTGTGGGCTTTTGTGATTTTTGGCCTGGGGTTTGCGAGATGGCACAGGTTGGGGCTCAAGGCTTTTAGGGGCTTGTGGCCCCGGAACAAGGGCCTTCATGTATGGAGGTAGACTTAACTTGTTTTTAGAAGGCTCTGAGCAGTTGCTATAGGGTTGTGAAAGATTTGGCGTGGGGCCGAGCTAGATAGCATAGGCTTTTGTGGCACATTACAAGTAGATGTAGAGACGATAAGTGTGCTTCTACCACTTGCTCAAACCTCTAAACTCTCAATCGCCTCAGGGCACAAAGTTGGGGTTTTGAAAGCTTTGACTTCCGTTGGGCTCTTCCCGTGGTACAAGATTTTGGGGAAGCCACCTCAACCCCTTGACAATAAAACCATTTTCTTTTTGAACCCAGACTCTGCCAATCGGCTGGATCAAACTCTAAACCCTAAACCCGACCCCCTTTAAGCCCTTGAACCCCCAAAACCCTAAAACTAGAGGGCTCATGCGGCTAATGGCCACTTGCGGGTTTTGGGTAAGCCCTAAACCCTAAACCCTAAACCCTTAACCCTAAACCCCGAAATCCTGAACCCTAAGCCCCAGATCACAGTAAACCGCGAAGCCTCCATCCATCAAGCTGCCACCATCGAGGCCGGGCACCCCTGAACAAGGGTTTAGGATTTAGGGTCTAGGGTTTAGGGTTTAGGGTTTAGGGTTTAGGGTGCAGGATTTAGGGTTTCGGGTTCAGTGTTTAGCGGGGGCCCCTGGACAAGGGTTCTTGTTGTCAGAGTTTTAAGGCTTGGGGCATGGGTTGTTTGCTTGGTTTGATACGGTTGTTTGCGGTCTTCGTTGCTGGTATAGGCTACAGCTTGTTGAAAGAGTTTTGTAGGCTCTACACTTGCCTGAATCGTTGGACCTAGGGGCTGCATGGCACTGCGATCGGATAGAAGTAAGCACGTGCTGACCCCACACCTCACATCCCATACTCCCCGCTACACTTTCACCTCATTTCCCAGCCCGCCTAATAAAACAATCTTTCACACCGACAGAACACGAAGCACCCCTAAAACAAATACAATAATCTCCATAACACACCCCCGAAACAGAACCATCATCCAAAATTAAAGCAAAGTTGGACGCTTCGGCAAAAGTCATCGCGAAGCATTCGCTACATGCCCTCTACATAGAATCATAGATGAACAACATTGACTTTTAGTAGATAGTCATCAACAGTATTGAGATCGTCTGTGTCATTTCTTATTGGTTTTCTTTTCCTGTACTTTACTGTGGGCAAATAGGGCTATCTGGCATCCATAAACCTTTCAATTGCATAACCACCTTCAAAATGTGGTTCTGCTATTCGTTTTTAATCCATAATAATAAAGTGTTTGTTGCATAGAATTTCTATTCAACTCCGTTATGTTCTTCATTGCGCTCGGGGTAACCCAGAAGTAGGTTTACTACAGCTACCACTTTATCTAACTGATTTTCAAGGTGATGAACAAATTTATTCTTTGCATTATTCTTCTTACCTACATTTTTGTCACATTCATATACTATATAATCTGTTTCGTTGTTTAGTGTAAAATGTAAGAGTTTTGTTTCTTATCAAACCCTCATGAAACCCATATTTACCTCCCATATGCTCAGCTCACTCCAGGCCCCGAAGTCGCAGTGTTTCGCTGGTGAAACCAGAGAGTCACGGTGTCCCCCTGTGAACTGCCCCAGGCCTGTACCCCAGAAGCGAAGGCGCACAGGCCGACTGCGACGGAGTAGCAGGTGGCGTCCTTTGCTGATCAAGAACAAGGCAAAAATCCCTTTTTTGAACCGAGGCTCTGATCATCAGCTGGGTTCAAAAGGCAAAAAACCCTAAACCCTAAACCCCAAACCCATGTTCCCTGTTTCGTTTATGAATCCTCCTGCCAACTCAGCCCTGGGCCTCAGCCCTTGAATCAAAGGGTCTGTACAGCATGAGGGATTCTACGGAATGTCTCCCTAAGTTCCGAAAGGGCCCCTGCTTGTGGCAGAGTGCGCTTTGGTGCGTGTGTGTGTGTTGGGCTTTAGGGTTTCAGGCTCTGGGGTGTCAAGCTTTAGCTGCAGGGGTTTACGCTTTACGGGCTTGGGGTTTAGGGCTTGAGGGTGTTTGTGTCGGTGGTTGCACATGTTTTCCTCCAACCTTAAATCAATCGCTTGAGCCCCGGTGGTGAGCAGCCTGCATCTTGCAGCGCCCGGCGTCCACACGAAAGATGGCATGGCATTAAAGGTTAAGGGTTGCATCTTGTAGTGTCTTAAGCACACCCACACATACACACACATAAAACAGGCGAGATAGCATGGCGGAAATTTCATTCCAGAAGGCACCCGTCTTTCGGACTTGAATCGAGGCGAGAAACTTAGAACTCAAGCCTCTGACCCTGCACCCTAGATCCTAAGCACTACGCACGCCCCTGGACCCAAAACCCCTGATTTTCGACTGGGATCAAGGGGCTAAGATATCAAAAAGCTATGGTCACTCTGACTGCTGCCACATTACTTATAAGGCCTGTGATCTACGACCTAGTTTCTCTCAAGCCCAAAACCTGAATCTTAGATGCTACACCTTTATAGGAACCGTCGGCGGACCAACCGCCGATTACTGTAAAACCATGTAAAGAATCTGTAGCCTTCAGCCACCCAAAAACCTGAGACCGACCAGTTAGGGTTTAGGGGTATCACCAAGCGGCCGCTGGAAAAGACGTGCACCTCGGGGCTTGGGGCTTACTTCGGGTGAAGCTTGGAAGGTTTTTACGTTCGGTATGGTTCAAGATGTACGCTCTCATGCTGGGCAGGATCAGGTTGAGGGTTGAGGGTAAGCTTTAAAGTTTAAAGTTCAAGTTGTAGGATCTGAGTAGTTCTCTAAATTAGGGTCCCTTTTAGGCTTCCTTTTGATCTGGGTGCCATACTGCATTTGGAGAACTACCCATTTAGCTTGGGGCTTTCAGGTTTGGTTTACGGCACAGTGTTTGATTTGCCCAGCGCACATCTGCTTCGTTGACGTGCTTGATAGACTGGGCAAATTTGCGAGGAATACCAGCTCGAACGAAAGAATATTCCTTGCCCGATGCCGTCGATCAAGTGGCCTTGGTTCATGAGGTGTCGCTGGTGTAGCTAGGGGCCCACCGCTCTTTGCAGCTCCAACCATCGCAGTGGCTTAGCCCGCCAGATTCGGGTGGAAGAGAAATGCGATGATTCTACCTGAAACCGAAATCGAAGCAGTCCAGTGTCGAAGTTTGCGGCAAAAGACGCAAGGATGAATGGAACATCAACAAACATTGGCTGTTCGCTTTCGTCGTCCAGCGGTGGACCTACAAACTCTAACCTGGGAAGGCGAACATGACCTTGTAGATGAAGGGCGTCCGGTGACGTGGATTTCTGGATTTGTGTCCAGTAGCGTTCGATGCTGCAGCTTCCGGTGGTTGAAAAGCCTGGCGAAAGTTTGGTTCATGATGGACAACGATTTGGAACGCCTACCCGAGACCCTGCAGACCGTATGCCCCAATGTAGGATCCCTGTGTACAGTCGGAAAACTCAACCACAAAACCCCAACCCTATAGGAGCCCTTATAGAAAATGCAAACCTGTAAGCCCAATCAAAGCACTTACAAGCAAATGTTCAAGATTCAAAGCACTACAAGAAACAAAAGCCATGTACAAACCCGCATAAGCACCCTCTAAAAGCCCAAAAAAACTCCTGCACAACCCTCTTTCAGGCCCTATACACCCAACCCCCCCCCC